AAACCCTTGTTCATGTAGGAAAACAGGGGCTGTGGTGGAACACTAGTGACACACTGTTTAGTCCCAGCTTGGCCCCACACAGCTTCAGAGCCCTGCAAGTTGCTTCACCTCTCTGGCTTCTGTTTCCTTGTCTGGAGGAACAAAGTTGGGCTAGATGGTTTCTGAAGCCCTTCTCAGTTCTAATAGTTTATGAGTCTGTGAATTTTGCTAAGATTTGCGACGGAATTAGACCAAGTATTATTATTAATATTTCAGGGAGTTTTAGCAGTGTTTAGCATGGACATGTGAAGTCGATTCCTTACTCCAGTTTCTGTGCCTGAGTGGATGGGTGCCGTTATTTATCTAAAAAAAGGCAATCAAACTCTTGAGAAAATTTCTGAAGAGCAGATTTTATTTCCCTTGCTATGGCCCTTAAATGCTACACTTGTTACATCTGAGTGCTAATTACTAGAGATTAATTAGTCAGCATGAAAGTACTTCTGAGGCAGCCCCCCAATTACTGAACTATACTTGATACGTGCTACCTGCAGGCTCTCGGCGGCAGTCCAGGGAAGTGACACTCTTTGGAGGCTATAGGCAGGCCTTTGACAACTTTCTAGTCACGTTTCTGGAAGAACAGCTGTCAAAGGCGGATGTCCTGCACATAATTAAATGAAAAATATAGCTCATTCCAAAAATGGAGGGAGCCGGCAGGCTAACTATATCAAGGGGCCAGGATATTTCCAGGTGATTAAAGATAGGTAATGAGTGGTGATTCTCTTGAGTCTATTTTTGGCTCTATTAGAGCCCTGTGGCCTGAACCTGGGTGATCCAATCCATTCCACTTCTCTCTGCTTAGGTCTGGGGCCATCAGAAGATACCTTCAGAGGAATATTGTGAGATTTAATCAATTATTATTTAAGGGCAGAAAGATCCTTGGATGAAAGGTGTGAAGATAAAAGCAAAGTCCGACTGTATTATTATCACTTTCTTATGCTCTTCTTTCTTCTATTAGTGTCATGGGAATAGAGTTGAAGTGTGCTTTGGTGCATTTTGCAAAATAGAAAAAAATAAGTACAGATACTATATTTTCAAAACCAAGTGCCCATTCTTCTTTGTAACTTGTGCACAGTAGATTGGCCAGAATTCCTATCTCATTTATCTCCCTATATTGGGTTGTCCTCCATGTCTAATTTTCCCTTATTAATGAATCTTCCCTTTTGTCCTGTACAAATTCTAGGAGGATGACATTTACACAGGGTAATCATTTCCATGCATTACCAAAAAGATTATTTATCGGTGGTTATCCAGCCAAAGTAAGCATATCTGTCACCGAAATCTGACCTAGAATAGGCTGTTGCTCTCTTAGCAGAATTATTTGCTGATCAATTTTTTCTGGTCTTTAGGTTTGTAGTTTAGGGGGAAAAAACTAACAAATCTCTGAATTTTGAAAAGAAGAGCCTCCTTGACAAGGTGCTAACCTGCTCTGATGCCCATCTTCCTGGGGAAAAAGAGGTTACCCTAGACCATGTGTTCAGCCATAGATGTTTAAAAACGAAACCAACTGTGTGGTTACGTATGGAAGGGCCTAGGGAGGATGCTCTTCACCAGTTCTGAAACGACTTTTGTGGAATTAATGCCTAATATTTGGAATAGATTCAATATGTAATCCTAGGGTTACACAAACACTGGCATGGGTATGAATCTCAATGCACTCTCACGTATGCAAGAAACATACATTTCTTAATTTTTCTGAAGTTCAACTTAATTTATACAGTCATGCTTTGCTTAACAATGGGGATACGTTGTAAGAAATGTGTCATTAGATGATTTTATTCTTGCGTGAACATCATAGAGTATACTTATACAATCATAGATGGTGTGTATATACATATTTATGTATATATTTTCACATAGAAAATCAAATGTTCCAGCATCATTACTAAATGTCAGTCATTTCCTTTACTTGATCTGCAATTCCAATATCAAGTGCCGCATGTCAGGTTTCTATATATGCTCCATTATAATCTTATGGGATGTTGGTTGTATATGTGCTCCATGGTTGAGCAAAATGTTATGTGGTGCATGACCATATGAGGTCTGTACAGAAAGTATCCAGCCATGCAATAGGAAAAATATATTAACAATGGCTGGATAGTTTCCAGACAGATCTCATATTACTCTGGCTCGACAAAAGCTTGTCTCAGTCAATTCCATGTGTTTCCCTCTTTCCTTTTTGCCCAGAACTGTGGCTAAGTCCTAGGGGTTGGTGGTGATCAAGTTATGGCTGGGCCCATCTGGGTTTTCCCTCAACGTCCACACAGGCTGTCCCTTTAGGGCCCGTGATTCACTTGATACTTCTCTGTCTCACAGAGACACCAAAATCTCAGCGAGGCCAGCACATGGCTCAGTCCACCAGGACAGTTTTGGGGTATTCCTCTTTCTTTAGCATTCTAACTGAGAAGTAGGGTGTAGGTCCTCCCTGCTCTTGGGCCCTCCAGAACTTTCCAAGACTTTGAGGTCTCTATATGGAAAACAGGAATCAGAACAGTTCTTCATGGGACTCAGATCTTCTCTCTCGTCTCTCCTCTCCTCAAAGCTGGGGAAAGGATTTTCTCTTTTCAAATTTAATTTCTTTCTACTATTTTGACTCCACCCTGAATTCTCTCCATTTCCTTGAGAACTCACGTTTTTGGTAGGTAGGGCCAGGAAGATATTAGAGATATAAGCAGACAGGTAGGCTCTGTCTGCTTTGTGTCTGTCACATCTTTTTTTTCAAAGCAATAAACATGGATTGGACTTATTGTGGGTGGAGGGAGGAGAATGGGAAGACTGATATTAGAGGGAGGGGAAAAAAGTTAACATCTCAAAACTATCATCCTTCCAGTTTTTAATACTAGGCTTTGAATGCCAGATTGTGGGATTTGTACTCAGGTCCATAGATAGTAGGGTGGCATAGAAAGTTTTTTAATGGAGCATGACATGATGGTACCTATGAATTAGAAAGATTATTCTGCAAGTTGTATGGAGGTGTATTTAGAGCAATATGAGATTGAAGCTGGAGAAGCTTATTATAAGAGATAATGGAAGTTTTGACTCTAAAATGCCATTGATTGCATAATGCATTACTTTAATAGAAGAGGTTAGGGTTAAAAATTGCGCTGAACATATACCTCCATGAGAAGGTGCATTTGTATTTCTGAAGTAAAGTATGCATTACTGTGAAACCAATGAATCTTCAACTTCAGGACACTTCACTTGCATGGGCTCCTTGAAAGGCCCCGTATCTAATTTTGTATCCATAATATTGTATACTGGAAAAGGACTTTCCCTAAGTTGTAGAGAAAACCAGGACCCAAAACTTGGGTCTATTTCTGGCAATAAGTGAGAAAGCATTTTATTATAGAATCAAATTTAACAAATGCTTTTTAACCATCCACAGTGTTGTAGGTATTGTGGCAAACACAGAATGACACAATATAGTCCTTGCTGTTAAGGATCTGACGATACATTGGAGACACCAGTGACAGCAGCAGGAAAGTAAAGAAAGATGTTGCTTGGAGGAAATCTACAGGACTTGGAAACATAATAGATGTGACAGGGCACAAGGAGCTCGAGGGAGGCCAGTAGTGATATGAACCCTGAGCAGAACAGGATGCTGGAGCCATGAGCCATAGGAACACAGGAGGAGGGAACTGTGGGGTGGAGAGTTTGTTGAGGAAAGATAAAGAATTTAATTAGGACATGCTAGATTATCTACCCACATACCCACTAAGCAGATGAGGGTTCTGGGGACTATTTGGGGTAGGGGAAGATAGAAATTTGGGCATGATTAGGGATAAGAATCGAGGCCATGGCAATGGATAAGCTACAGGAAGGGACTGCAGAAAGAAGAAGAAAGAAGACAGGCAGATCCAGGCTGGGTGTGGCTACTACGGAGTGTGGGAGTATCTTGGACCTGGATGTTGAGTTTGACCAGGAGGATGCCAGGAGACAGGCTCAGACAAGGACTCTGATGCTGATGCCAAGGTCTGAAGGAGCAAGGAAGGTAGCCAGAAAGCAGGAGCGAGCAACTGTGAAAGGGAAGTGGGGGTGGCGGAGTGGGCGGATGCCCTGACCTTTCAGAAAGGAAAGGCTGTTGGGTCAAGTCAGGGGTGCCAGGGGACAGTCAGGAGGATGCTGAGGCTTAAGAATGGACAGAAGGGAATTGAAGAAAGAAGCTATTTGAGTGTTAGATCGAGGGTCTTTGTTCACAGCAGGCGGCTGGCTGTGTTGGTTAGAGTTAGCTGTGATGCCAAAAAATAACCAATCATGCTGTTCAATTTGAGTGTTGGTGCGGAGGTGTTTAGTCTTGCTAACCTACCTACCCTAGTAGCTGACTTACCCACATCTGAGGGGAGACGTTGGGAAGCTCATACTTTGCACTTGTTTAATGGTAATTCCTGACCCAGTGCTAGGAACATAATGGATTTTCAGCAACTATCTATTATTCATGTTTTAAGATACCAGATTCTTCAGTTTTATAGACCAATCAAAAACCTATTTTTAACTACAAATCATGCCCCTAACACAACTTAAAGATATAATTCTTAACACATCATATTATCTGTTATAACTAAACATATGATTATTAAAATGATACAGGTTTCTTCAGGGTGGAGACGACATTTTATTCAACTTTATAGTCTCAGTATCTTGTGTGATGCCGAATATATATTATTGGTGAATGGACTATTTATTGTATGGTACAAGTTATAATTTGAATTTTAAGTGAATTTAAATATCTGATGATTTTTTGACTGAAAATATTTCTTTAGGGTCAATAGTGTAGTTTCTATGGTAGAAGTAAATTCTTCGTGTCCATATCTAACCCTATTTGATGGCTTACTGTATTATTATCTTAAGGATGGTGCCCCACATCTGTGTCTCCTGGGGCCACCAACATTTTCATAATAGCATTCAGGGTTGTCTGGTAACCCATTATTTGTTTAAGAATATTTGTTTCTATTTTATTCATCTGAAATTATGGCTACAGCAATGAGGTGAATAGACGTTTGAGGGTTCAGACTCAGATTGCTGTTTCATCCTCTCAAGACCTCTGTTTCTTGTAATCTGTAAAATGAGGGTAATAAGTCATTTACATTAGTGCTGGTGTGAGGATTATATGAGATAACATTTGTAAAGGGCTGACATTAACATTGCACCGGGAATCGTGGACACAGAATAAATGTTTCTTTATTTTTCTTCCTTCTCGCAGAGGCTCAAAGAACACCTGGAAAAACCCCAAAGATCTCAGTAGTAGAGGCTGACAGATCGTGTAACTGAGAAATCAAGAATCTCTTTATTGGATGCAGGGTCAATTTAGCCCTTGCAAGAAATGTGTTTCAAAATTTGGTACTCTTATGTATATTAATTCTCTGCTTTATCTTATGGTTGGACTTTATGTTCTACTTGCCTTTAATTCTTTGACTTAAAAAAAAAAAGCAATTTTTCTTTTGGTACTGTGCTTTCTTTGTCAGTTTCCTTGAGTCCTTCGTGGAATGACATGAGAGATAAATAGGGTTGATATTCAATGACCACATTGCATTAGATGTTACGTATTTGGAGTATCAGCTCTCACTCACATGATCACTAGACACGACAGGAGGAGGTAATCATCCCATTTTACAGATGAAAAACTGAGACACAGAGAAAGTAGCTTGACCAAGGTCACAGAGCTATGGCGCTGCTGGGACTCAAGCTGAAGCCCCTCATTTCCGTCTCTACTCTCACCACTGAAGCCAACTTGCCTCTGAAGGACAGGACATTTATTATAATTCCTCCTAAAGAAATTTCTAGAATATTTAGCACTTCTCTAGAGAATTTGTTTGTAGCCTATCCAGTCAAGAATCCACTTATCTTCAGAGAATGTAGTTGATTACATAGGAAATCCACAACTTTTGATTGAAAAGAACATCTCTTTTCCAGATTTTGCTGGAGAACACAGGGGTTAGTGTAATTGCTATGTAATTTTTTAAAAAAGGTTTTAGCTGTCTCTACCAGATTCTCATTTCCTCTCTATAAAGCATTTATGTTCTAAAGCATGCTTCTCCTAAATGAAAACTTTTATTTTCCCCCCCATGGCTACATTCCATGCTAATATGCCTTCTGAGGTACTATATTTCAATGTCAAGGATTAAACTTGAGTTACATGGTGAATACAAGGTCACTGTATAATTTTTGGAAAGGTCAGATAATAGCAATAATATCTTTACATGATGAATGAAATTATACATCTATCAATTATTTATCTAATCTATGTAACCTATCATCTAAATGTCAATATCTTTGATGTTATGTGTGAATGGTGACTCTGAAAAGCCATTTACAATAGGTTCTTTCCATATTGATTTATTTTCAGGTTATAAATAATAATTGTGGAATCATATTCCATTGGGGTAAGTTTAAAGTAACTTAGATTTGTCTTGATTTGATATTGCCTTACAATTTAGAGATAAATGTATATTTCACTTTTGCAAGGCATAGTCCCTGTATTTCAAAACAATTCATTTGTTTTGGTGTTTTCCAGATTAACTTTGCATTAGCACTGAGGAAAGTGAATGATGATTTGACTATTTGTCAGTGATAACTGAAGCATATCCTGTGTACTACAGTGCAGATAAAATGTTATAGTAATTTTTTTTTCTTGTTTTTGCTTTACTTTATTCAGAGAACAACTACCTCTTCCCCAAATAAGAGGTACTTAAGTGGATTGCTGGATGTTTACTTAAAATGTTTTAATTATCAAAAGCATACACGACTATTTAAGTAAATGAGAAGGTTAATTTAGAGACAGGCTAGGATTTGAAGACTGAATTCAAGTTTGTCTTTGATGTTTAATAAAAAGAACTTGGGCACTGAGTTAAACCTCGGCTGATTCCTGCAGGTGTGACTGTGCAGGTTGTTCACACCTTGTGTCCCTTCCAACTGGTTGTTGCCGATTCACCAGTATTCACACCATACTGGCTGATAAATATTGTGAGTATTAACCCTGGTTACATTTACTAAGGCTAAAATCCTTGCCTAGCTACCTAGTAGCTGTGTAACTATGTGTTATTATTAAGTAACCTCTTGGGGCTTTAGTTTACTCATTGGTAAATGAGGATAATATAATAGTCTGCTTGTGAAGATTGAATTGGATGTTGTGTGTAGAATGTTTATCATTTTCTCTGGCAAATAGTAGGTGCTTAATAAATGTTACTTCTCATCTTCTTTTCCCTCTGTTCTCCTGACCTTGTCAGGGATCCCTGTCCTTTCTTGTCCTGGGAATCACAGAATCATAGGACCTCAGAGATTGAAGGGAATGCCATCATGTCCAACAGTACCCTCCGGCTCAGGGATCTATCATGTTGGTAAACATTTTGACTTATAATCCAGACCACTATCTGGGCTGCCTTTTCTGCCTGTATGCATTTCTAGTTCAAGGTACATACCTGTTTTGTTTATACTTTGTATTGTATTTGCTTGGGCACTCATTGCATCATTAACCTGGTTAGTCAACTCCCAAATTTGTGCCTCCATTAGTCAAAGAAAAATGGAATGAGAGATGGTGGAAGGATCACAACAGTAAATTCATCCCTGTTATGGGGAGAACTGTCACCATTATCCCCTAAGGAAAAAGGATCAGTAGCATTATTTCAAATTACAGTACATGGTTTTTTTTTTTTTTTTTTTTAATTCTTAGTCTATACATCATTCCAAGAAGGACCTTTTGGTCTATAACTAATATTTATGATGGAGAAAGTGTTTCTTGTCTGAATTTCAACAGCCAGATAACGTGACGACTCCTTAGCAACACATATTACAAGACTTGAATTACTCTTTTTTTATTCTTACTTAGTACCTCATGGAACAAAGCTAAATACATAAATCTACTGACCTTAAATCTATCTATATATTTTAAAGAAAACCTTGTAGTTTGATAAAGCCTAATTTTAGTGTGTCTCTTTTAGTAAGCTGTGTCAAAATTTCATCATGAAATCTGAAGCCATCAAAAATAGAGTTGACTGCCAATTCAAGCCAGGATTAGATTTATTTATGCAAATCCAAAGATATACCAGTGTTTACTACCAGGTGGTACTAAATATACAGGTTCAATGAGATGTACAGGTTTAATGAAAAATATGTGACAGATACTTGGATTTTGGTAATTTCATTTGTGTGTATGTGTATACGTGGTTCAGTGTTAAAATATGCCTCCGCCTAATTTACATCAAAATGCATGTGATTCTTTGCTATTTCTGTGCACATGTCCCTGTCCCATAAAGCCACTCCTCACATCCCTCTTGAGACCATCTTGCTCCCTAAAATCCCCCGCAAACCCGCCTATCGCTTCCCCACCTTTGTGCACACGACGCTTACTGTCTGAGCTACTCTTGACAAATTTCGATAGTTGAGATTATTGTTTATTTATCTCTGGTTATTCCATTTAGTAAATATTTTTCTTATTTCTCTCAATAAAATAAAACTATGGAGAGAAGAAGCTAGATGGTCTATTCCTTATAGCTCCCACACCACCCATCGTGGGCATACCCAATACCTGTTGACTGGAACAATTTTGCCCACACTCCAGGTAAGAACAAAATAAATGACCAGGAAGGTATTTAGAGAATCATCTCCCTATTACTTTAAGATTCATGTCTAGCTGCTTTATTGGAGTGACTTATTCATTTTACCTATCTGTTTCTCTTGCTTCATCAAATCCAGATCCTCAGATTTCCTTTTCTGTGCCATGTCTCCCATCTCCATCTTGGGTCTCCTGTGTGAGGATGGGTTGGACCCCTGAAGCCAGAGGTGGTAGCTGCAGTGTTGTCAGAAACGAACAGGGAGCCTGTTCCTCGCCCTAATCCAGACACACATCAGCAAACACGGACTTAGCAGGAGCCAAGCTTTCAAGTAAAGCCAGCGAAGCGCGGAGGGAGAAGCATCAGAAATACACCCCAAATTGACTTGGCGTCTGTCGCCTGGGACTGCCCAGGCTGTGAATGGAGAACTCTTGTAGATTGAAGGAGGGGAGCACAGGCCGGCGGGTGTGTTTTATACTCACTGTCCTTTACAGAATCCCTGCGACATGGTTGACCTTAGAAGAGACTCTTGATGATTACGCCTAAGTCTTTTCAACCTGTTGTTCCTATTTACACTTGTGCTTTGTGGATTCCTTCCGGGAGAGGCGTTTTAAAGGAATACAGAAGGCTTTCCACCCCAGAGACACCCCAAAGGTGGCAGCTTAGGCAGATAGCTTTCATTTCTCTGTTTGTTATTTTCCTTCCAGGATGAAATATTTCTTCTTCCCCTGAGCATCTCGATTTTGTGATCTGGGACATGCTCAGATTTAACAGTTTGAACTTTTAAAAATAGTAATTATTTGAGGATATTCTGCTCTTTTTATCTGTGGGAAGACTGGGGAATCTGGAGTTACTTCTGTAGCCCTTTTAAAAGCTTAGCTTTCCCGAAGTACTGTTTTTTAAACTATCGTAAGTCAAATTTATCATGGGGATAATGTAATAAAGACAAATATTCAACCAATAATGAAAAGCTAAGTAAACGGGTATGTTTAAGCTCTATTATATGCAGGGGAGTACATTAAGGCAGATCTAAGAGACACTTTAATGGATTTAACATTAGCAATCAGACCTGGACTTGGTATAAATCAAACACCATTGCATTTCAGTCTAATGCACACCCACTCATTCATTAACACCGTTCAACGCAGATTATAAATATTAGCCAAGAAACCTTCAGTTCTTGAGATTCTTTCCACAGACACAGCAATAATTGAACAATAATGATGACAATTTTATTTTTATGAATCGCTATGGCTTACTTTTATTGATTTGCTCTTGGGCCTGGAGAAAGCTTCCTCAGCCAGTATACAACAGGAAATGGTTATAGCATTATCAGATAGGCCGTAAAGAGATAAATAAAATAAAGGGGGTAGGAATGATGGCAGAACTCGGGCAAGCTGCTGATATAAGCAAGAATTACTCCCCTCACTCCCAACAACTTGAATTACCTCCCTTCTCCCTCCCCGCTCTTTCCCAATTTGGCAAAAGGAAAATACTCCCAGGCTGTAAATGTGCATTAACTTTGGAGCTGAACATTTTGGGGGTTCTTGGTAACAGCTGGAGGGAAATGAATAATAAGGGAATAAATGGTCCTGCTTAGGCATTGCATTGAAAGCAGGGTGAACTCCCTTGGGAATATGGCCTTTCCCTGCCTCCTTTGATGATGTACAGCTTCTTAGTAACAAAGGCAGTGTAGCTTTCTGGAAATATTCCATCCACAGCTATGAAAAGTTGCTGATCCCTTGCTGCCTGTTCCTCCTCCAGAACATGAGGTGTGCTGGGCTTTGAGTCAGCTCTCCCTGCTTTTAGCTCACAGGGGTGACGAATCAAACATCCTGGGCTATCAGTTAGAACACACCAATGTGGATCGGCACGTGTGTTTCCCAGCTGTTGTGTTTTTCCCCTTCTTGATGACAAATTCCAGGGGTTTTATTTCACTCTCATTCCCAGTGATAATCTGGACTTGTACTTCTATTTATTCACTGCACTGAGACCTCAACATGGCTTTTAGTGAAAGGAACAAGAGCAAACGCATCTTTGGGAGTCTATCAGTCTCCTGCAAGTTCCATCCATTGGAGCAGACTGGCAGGTCTGGGCATGACAGGGCCAATGGCAAGAGAAATTCTTTTTGTGGCCATTCCTCCATGCCCAATGGGTTTTTCTTTCCTGGCCCAAAATTTCTAGGTCAGTTTATAGTAGAAGTATGGACGAGCTGATATTTAGGGCTTGTCCAGCTTGTCCATTTGCTGGTTCTGAGTCATTCATGTCCCTGGGAAAGAACAGGATACTGAAATACCCCCACAGTTAGAGGAACTACCTTGAGGACTATACTGATAGCTGCTACACCCCACACTCTAGTTCATTCTTCATGCCACCTTTTTAATTACATCTTTGATATAAGCCTGCCTGGGTGCTGTAATTCTACTCTTTTCCCAGAAAATGAGTTCTTTGGACTTCAAAGTTAATTAAACTATAGTTACAACTTAGTGCTTAATAAATCCATAGATTTTATAGAACATTTTAAAGAATTTAGAGTTATTGGTGACACGTTAAGGTATCATGTAACAACTGGGAAAAAAACCTCAGACCTGGTAACATTAGAAAATCCACAAAAGTTCAGCACCATATTTTGTGGTTATTGAAGGAAAGAAAGGTAAATTCTTGGTTTGTGTGTAGATTCTTGGTTTGTGTGTAGAGGATCTTGCATCTCTGAAGGAAAAAAAATCACTCTGTAAAACAAAAATATTGTAGCAACCATAGGTTGTGTCAAACCTAACCACAATTCTGTGGTGGTTCACAAGGCTTTCTGATGCCCACAAGCTCAATGAGCTCATTGGTTTGTAAAAGTACAAAAGGAGATTATTATAAATACTAGTCCCAGGAGGGTGACTGAAAAAGTAGTTGTTAGGGCTCCCCAAAGGAAAGAACAGAAATTCCTGAAATAAAAGGTGCTGTCCCCTCCCCAAGAGTGTTTATAAAATATGGAGAGCCAAATACTGTTCCTCTATTAATGAAGTAACTCATTAAACAATACTTATTGAGTGCCTGCTATGAGCCAGGCACTCTGCTAGATATTGAACCGGTGACAATGAGACAGTCACGCCCATTACCTTCAAGGAGCTTCTTATTCTAGTTGGGGGAGCCAGTTAAACAAATTAGTGATATAATTTCAGATAGTGAAAAATGGTAGAAAATTATGTGATAGAAATGTGGAAGAGACTAAACAGGAAGGATGATTTTATTAGAGAGGGTGAAGGCCTTATATTGCCAAGTAAGAAATCTGGTTTTCCTTCTAAGAGAGAGAAAGACCAGTGACGTGATCTTCTCTACAATTTATGAAAATCACTATGGCTGCCATATGGGAAATTTGCCAAGGTTTAATAAACCTTTGG